GTGTGTGTGTGTGTGTGTGTGTGTGTGTGTGTGTGTGTGTGTGTGTGAGAGAGAGAGAGGGGGGGGCATCAACTTCAGCTGCATTTATATAACTGACAGGTTTGGTTGGTTGGTTTGTGTTTGGTTGGTTTTTTGTTTGTTTTCTAATAGAATGTAACCATATATTTTAGAAACCACTCTTTGTGTACTTTTCTCTGCTCCAGTGTGTATGTGCAGCAATTCCCACAGTTGTGTTGTTAACATGAAAATTGCTTTAAAGAAGTGTATAGTCGTTGGTCCTGTGCATTTTCACTGAGGATGCCAATTGACTCAGAGCCTCGCTGCAGGCTCCACTTACTGTTACAGCTGACGACGGTGAAGAAGTAATACGTTATATTTGCGACCAGTCCAAATAGATTTCCCAGCTGCCCTAACTTCCGGTTCCCACCTACCTCCACAGACCTCCTAACAATCCTGGACATCAGGACGTGTTTATATCAAGTCACATTCAAGACCTGGGCTGGCCCCGGGTGATTTTACACAGCCTGAGAAGTGCTTGGTCAAATAAAGTCTGTCCTAGGTGACTTGTACTTGGAATTTCTGAGTGATTTTGAAAACAAATGTGTTTTTAAAAGATGTACCAGCCTTTGACTCTGTAAAAAATCTCTATGTCAGAATGCATTTTATTACCAAATACACAAAGCCGAGGGAGGGCCTTTAGTAGTTTTTCCTTTCAGTTCTCCAAACTTCCTTCTTGGTTTAAAGCATGCACTCTACTTTGGAAGGAGGTAGAAACAACAGAGAACCTCCTGCCGCTCGCAAACGACATTTCCCCCTCTTCCTCAATGGGCCAAAAAATACTGGTGATTTAAAATTTTGATAAGTTTCATTTGTTCTATTTTTAGCATTCCAGAATTTGCTGGCTCTGTTAATGTGATGGAGAAGGCCTTCCTGGTTTAGATTGTTCCTATAACGTGTAGGCGCCATGTGGTAGGTGAAAAGCAGTCATAACACTTGAAAGTCTAGAGAAAGAACATTCCAGGCTCTGTCCCCTAAAGTAAAAGAGAATGGTGTGAAGCTGACAGGGGCTCGTAGGAGCCTTTGCTGCCCCCCCTAGCTGCTGTCACCTGTTCTGAGCTTCCTTGCCGCATGGTAGATCGCCTCTGCAGGTGAGAGCCGCCACCACTATGGAATGCCATTTCTAACTACTGTGCCTTTTACTATCCAATCCACTGAAGACTGATTCTACATCCTATGTTGCTGTTGTTACATGCAAAGCAAAAATTGTATTTAATTCGAAACCTGGTTCAAAGCGCAAGTCTTTCTTTTTCTTTTTTTTTCTTTTTTTTCTTTTTTTTTTTTTTTTGCACTAGCGCTCACTCCAGCATCATGGGCATGTGGAAATCTGTACTGGATTGCTGATGTTTCTCAGGACAAGTCAGTCCTGTTTCCCAGCCAGAGAGAGTTCCCTGGGTCCAGGGCATGGCTTCTGCATTGTGGCTTCATCACAGTTAAGAAAAGCAGAATCGTCCTCAAACCAGTGCCACGAAATAGAAGCCATTGCCTTTCAGCAGCCGACAGACAGGATGCTGGGCACAGTGTGCCCACAGATTGTTTCTTCACAGGAGCCAGGGAAAGGGGCGTTGGAAAGATTTAGGACAAAGTAAGTAGAGACTTCTAGCCAGTCTTAGAGATGGGAAAGATCCATCAGCTCATATAATGTATGTAAATTTGCTTAGCCACCCCGTGAACCCCATTATTGCCTTTACTGTTGTCCCAGGCATTGCCAATTATATTTAGAAAGTACTTTGAGCCGCTTCTATAATTTAATAATTGGTCCCCCTTTTGAGTACCTATTGGTGCCCACTGTGTGTGACTTGCCGATCTTGGCTATGCTTTTGACGGTAACTAATCCACGCCGCGGTGCTGTCGTCCATGTACGTCAAGTGCCGCTGCTGAGCTGGTGAGCTAGCTTTGACCCTGAAATAGGACCTGTGTGCTAGATGTGCATTTTTGCTGAATGAAGGATTTGTCGTTGTTGTTGTTTTTTTAAAAAAGACTGTTATTTGATTTCTTGTAAATGCTGTGAATCTCTTTTTGTCATTTTGTATCTGTATATTAAAATTAATTTGCCAAACTGGTTCTAGTGATACATCTCAATAGTAAAGTAAGATAGACACATTATACAGAAAGAGGCAGGCTGGGCCAGACACAAAGCCCGAGCTAGGTCTGATTGTCAGCACTGCATAAAACTGGATGTGAAAGCACATACCTCTAATTCCAGCACTTGGGAGGTAGAGATAGGAAGTTTTCTCTGGCTACAATAAGGGGTTCAAAGTCAACCTAAGCCATATGAGACTATGTCTCAAGAAAAGAACATTTTAAAAAGGCAACCAATCCTAGAATGTACAGATCCTTTCTTGCCTTGAGCTTGGTGCTTCTTCCTGAAGACTCATTCCTGATGGGTGAGAAGGAACCACTGGAAGGCGTTGGAGAAAGGCTCTGAGGGGAGTGGAGAGGGGCCACTGGACTTCCAACACCATTAGAGTGGTAGATGAGCCAGAGAGAGCAAGTGACAGTTGAGGTGGGTTTTGTTAGCCTCTTGTGGGTTTGGAGATGTAACTGGGAGCTGCCCCACCCCTTACCCTCAAGATCAAGCAGGCCGTCTACCACTGAGTGACTGCCTAGCCCTGGAAGGCTAAATCTATTGCTGTTTTCCATGAGTGATGCAATGTGGGTAACCAGGTCTCTATGCCTAGGGTGGTCAGAGCTGCTGGCAAGGCTCTTCACTGGGAGGTAAGCCTGCAGCCTTGGCCTCCCTCACCCAGGGTGTGGGGTGAGTAAGAATTTCCTCCTCTCATTAGCAAGCTCAGAAAATCCCAGTAAACAAGCCATTGTTTGCTGTGACTAATCAGAACATGGTTCCTCTGGGTTGCCAAGGCTGCCTCTTGCTTTCTGGTGTTTAATCCCAGCATCATCTGTCCACTTGTACCCTTGCTCACTCCACCACGGGGTCCACTGACAAAAAGTGACAGTGACAGCCCTGGGAATGTAAGGGTGGTCCAAGATGGTGTCATGCCCAGAAGGGAGCATAAGGGGAAGTACTTTAGAAGAGTTAGGAGGTGAAACAAGCCTTTTTAGTTGTCTGCTGTATGCACAGGAGACACCATGTCCCTTTGGAGGAATGTGGCCAGACAAACCCAATGATGTTCTTGCATCAGTAGCACCAGAGATGTGAGATAGGCACATGACAGCCCCTAGAATGGAGTCCTCCCCTTAACAGACGTCTAGGCCCACACTTAACTCCTAAGGGTTCTGTGGACAAGCACACAGGGCTTGCCTAGAGCAGTGCAGTGCCTCTGCCTGGTCAGAGCTGAGACCATGCGGTGTCTGTGCACCTACACTTTAGCAAATGACCAGGACCTGTGACACTGGTGGTAGTTGACTTTCCCCAATGTGGCTGAAGAACTTAAGGCCAGCTGTGGCCCGTATTGCCTACGTAGGTTGTGGTGAAGAGAAATTTCAAAGCCGAGGCAGAGGGGTGCCCAGGGAGACAACCTAGCAGGCTGCACAGTGCTCCCAGCAGGCCTTGGGGAAGGAAAGGGACACTGGTGACCAAGTCCTCTTCTTATGAAAAGAATGAATAGAAGTACCATAAACTGAGACAGAAGAGTAGTGTAAACAGTGTGCCAGGCTTGGTTCCTGCTAACTCAGGAGAGAGGGCAGGACTAGGAATACAGCTGGGGAGGATTCCCCATGGCCAGGGAAGCAGAAGGGCCTGTGGCAGCCTGATGCTGAGTGACCACAGAGGTCCCTGCACATTGAAGGGACTTGGGAACTTGGCTGTAGTAGTCAGACCTAAAGAAGCCAGACTGTGCTCAATGGATGCTACATAGCTTGATGGATGCTGCCAAATCCAGTCCCACCTCCTCTTGGGTACATTGCCAGGGCTGTCTGCTGGGCTGAGGAGTGAATGTGGAGTGTGGTAAGCTCTGCTCAGGTGAGGCTTCCCAGTACCTGCACACCCCATCCCCAGATGGCTGCTAAGATTGAGCTCCTGCCCTCAGAACAAAACAGTATTCTTATGCTCTTGAAACTTCTACACTTTTGACTGCCTGTTTAGACACGTCTCAGGAGAAGCTACAGAGCTTCAGTGTGCTCCTCGGTGGGCTGGAGGTCAGGGAAGGGATAGACAAAGCCCTCATCTGCCCCATGCCTGGTCTAAACTATACATGTTAGGGCTGGTAATTTGCCACATCCTGTGCACCAAAAGCTGAAGCTTGGTGTTCCCAGAAGAGAAGAGTAATTGTCAGGTCCAGTGGGAACCTCAGTTCCCCGAGAAGCAGTGGATAACCCTGAGATGACAGCGTTTGCTCAGCTCTGGGTGGACTATAGACAAAGCAGCATTCCTCAGAAACCCATGAAAGGGGTTTCTACCTGGCGGGAAGGACCCCTTCCCTTACCACATACTTGTGGTTGTGTATCCTTCAGTTCCTATCCATGCGTACCTGTTACACATTTCAAAACCCACACTAGCATCCTGACTTTACCATCTATCTCCTCTGCTCTAAGTTCTTGGGCTGTTCTAGTTCCCTCCTTTAGCTACTTGTTCTCTGCATAGCCCAGCAACTTCTCTATCCTGGCCTTGGCCAGTGGGCTTCTTTTTCTCCCTGCCATAGACTCTTCAGATGCCTCTGGCTGTCCCGCTCTCACACCTGTAATAGAAACCTTTCTAACTCTGGAGAGGCTATCTCAGTGGTTTATTGACTGCACCCCCACTTACAGCAATGCCTATGAGCAGAGACTCAGGCAGACTTCCTGGGTCCCTTTTGTGGAGAAAGGAACTTTTTTCACTTTAGTTTGGTTGTTTTTTGTTGTTGTTGTTGTTTTGTTTTTTGTTTTTTTGTTTTTTTAAAAAAAGACCCTCTCTGTGTAGCTGTCCTGGAACTTGTTATAAAGGCCAGGGTAACTTCAAAGTCACAGAGGTCTACCTGCCTCTGCTTCCTGAGTGCTGGAATTAAGGTTATGTGCCACTATTGTCTAACTGGTTTTTTTATTTTTATTTTTATTTTTATTTTTTTAAGCTGAGGACTGAACCCAGGGTCTTGTGCTTGCTAGAAAGGTACTCTACCACTGAGCTAAATACCCTAAATACCCAAACTGCAGAAGATAACTTTATTTTACAGTTTGGTATATTTAAAGGACAGAGCAGGGTCACTGGAGCGTCAGGCCTTATCTAGAGCTTTAGAAGTCGCAAGGGCTGAGAGCTACTTCATGAACATCCTTCCCCCAAAAGCATATCTGAAGTCCTTTTCCTCCTGGCTAGCAGTGCCCAGCAGTATTCTACAGAGACATGAAAACCAATGGGAGGATTAACTGAATCATAGGTTGCCCTTAAATTTAGTTTTGCCCTTGATGAGAGTCACAGGCAACAGTGACTGTAATTATTAAAAATTCTATGTAAACAAAGGGATCTTAATGACCCGTGCTGCAAAGACTGCAGGTTACAGTTGCTGGTCTGTATTGCAAAGACCTCAGGTTACAGTCACTGGTCCGTGCTTCAAAGACTGCAGGTTACAGTCACTGGTCTGTACTGAAAAGACCTCAGATTACATTCGCTGGTCCATATTGCAAAGACCACAGGTTACAGTCAAGGTTCTCCTCATTGTCACCTGCTTCCTCGCTCACAATGGACTCAAGGCCAAGGAGAGAACTGTTCACATTAAAACAGAAACCTGCAGCGGGGATCTCTCCCACATTCCACCTCCTGGAACACCCGGAGTCCCCTCAGTTGATTTCAAAGGACAAAGAAGAACAGGACAAAGCACCCTTGGGTGCTGTGAAGGGATGCTACTGGACCCCAGTGTTGCTGTGATTTCTGAAGCTAATCCAAGACATCTTGTGCCTCCCTCCGTCCCCTCCCCTTCCTGCTATTCTGCACTTACGTTCACTGGGGAGTTCTATGGCAGGAAGGCTTGATTTTATTTACAGTGTGAGAGTTCCCTATTTACACGGTGCCAGTATCCAGCCTGTAACTCCAGGGTTCAGGTAAGTACACTAACGGATAGTTTTTTCACATTCAGTTGAAGACATCTGGGTTCTGAGGTGACTGTGTGTGGTATAAAGCTCTAGGTTGGAACAGAGGTAATCTGCTTCTAAAACTTTTTTCATGCCTGTACTGTCACACTGGAGAGGCTGACACAGAAGGTTTGATCTACAGAGTAAGTTCTGGGACCAATAGCCTGAGCTACAGTATGAAACTGTCAAACAGACACACAGATGCACACAGACATACACACAGACACACACACAGGAAGCTAGGAGGAGGCATAAAAAACAGGATAAATCACAGGAATAACAGACCTTTCTAGAAAAGCTTATAGATTATCAGCTATACATTTTAATGAGTATATATATATATATATATATATATGTGTGTGTGTGTGTGTGTGTGTGTGTGTGTGTGTGTATGCTAATTTATATGGTTTAGAAAAGCAGTATAAGTTGAAGAAAAGATGCTTACTGTAACATTGTATCAAGTACATGGGAGAAATAAATAAAGCCAACTTAGTGTAAGGGATGTCATCCGTCTGTCTGACACTCAAGCAAGCTGAGCTTCAGCGAAGATTGCTCACAAGCTGGCCTGGTGCAGCATACCTGTCCCCAGCACTTGGAATGCTGGGGCAGGACCATGAGTTCTAAACTGCCCTGAGCTGCATAGAAAGACCCTGACTGGGAAAAGTAAGATTGTTCCCTTGATTTCTGTTAAATTTTAGTGTTTGGGGGCTGCATAAGGAGTATGAAGTGCTTGGGGGAGGCATAAAAATCTGGACTGTTTGAGAATATGTGCCTGTAAACTAGAGAAAATCCAAAGAGGTACCAAAAATGACTTTTTTTAAAAAAAATGTATGTGTGGAATGTTATGCCTGCAACTGTATGTACCACACCGGAAGCCAGGAAAGGGCGTCCCATCATCTACAAGAGCTGTGAGCAGCCTCGTGGTACTAGGGGATCAGCCACCACTCCACGCCACAAGTGGCTTTTCACAGAGAAGAGAGAAGTGAGGAGGAATGCTGGTAAAGCACAGAAGAATCAACCTAGAGTCCACCAGTCCTTTCTGCGTCCAGCAGCGGAAGTGACTGTAGAGAACTCATGGTGGGGTGTTGGCTCTAAGAAAACTCAGTCGCCTGAGGTGGAGTGAGTTTGTTTGTGACTGAGGGAAACAGCTGGGTTTCCTCTTCCAGAAACACTTTCTGTATCCCAGCAGCTTTCACCAGAGGGTGACACCATCTTTTGCATGGCAGTGTCTAGTTACAGAGGGGCTGGAGAGATGGCTCAGGGGTTAAGAGCACCAGGAAGAGTAGAGTTCATTTCTCAGCACCCACATCTAGTGGCCTATAACTCCAGCTCCAGGGACGGCTGATGCGCCGGTCCCAAAGGGTCTTTACATTGGTGTGTGTGTGTGTGTGTGTGTGTGTGTATGTGTGTGTGTGTGTCTGTCTGTCTGTCTGTCTGTCAGTCTGTCTGTCTATGTCTATGTGCACACACAAACAATTTAAAATAATAAAAGTAAGTAGCTACAAATGTGTAACTAGCACTACAAAGACATTTTTCCTCACAGGAAAGTCTCTTACCACCTCCTCATTCTGTACATTAACATGTTTGCCTACTTGTATATATTCACTTCTAGTTTTTGATAATATACATACATTAATATCTTCATAATGTATCTGATACCTTAGTCTTTCTAAAAGTCATTTAAAAAATTTTAAACCCTCTCTCTCTCTCTCTCTCTCTCTCTCTCTCTCTCTCTCTCTCTCTC